TCTTGGAAAACGTTTCACTTCAGATGCTTCTTGGATGAGAAACGAAACCTCTTCAAAGAAAAAAGTAAAACCAGAAAGTCCAGCTGCCTCTCATAAAAGCACTTTTGGGACATTCCTACTAGCTTAGTGGGGGATAGATGGGGGTGGAAGTGGGGGAAAAAAAAGCCATTTTACAAAAACCCAAGTTCAAGTACTATTGAGTGAGGGGAAAATAGGAGGCACGTCGTTTTCTGTCTTTCTGATGAAGGACCAAAAGGAATAGATCTATCCAAGGCCCCTGCCATGCTGAGCCCCTAAGTCTGCTTCTTAGAAAATTACCTGCCCCGAAGTTGTTGGAAAGCATATTATGGGCTATAAAGGGATTAATACAGAAGCGAAGGAGGGCAGGGTAAGTAAAGGAAGAGGGGGAGGTGAAAGGGATTTTTGAAGGACCGGATAGGGAGGTTAAAGGGACGTCCTGGGGGCGGTGGATTAAAAGGGGGGGGTTGCTTGAAACACCTGGCAGCCCGTTTGGGTGGGGAGGGTCCCTGCTGGGCCACAACCGCACGAACCTGCTGGGGCCTCCCCGGGCGACCCCGCTCTCAAGGCCTAACGGGCTTCGCTGGACCGCGTCCCCCTCCCCTCCCCGCCCGCCTCTCCTTCGGGCGCTACTCCCAGCCGGGCGACGTCACCCTTCTACCGTCATCTACGTCGTCATGGAAACGGGGCCGCCGCGTTGGGAGGGCCTTCGCTCTTTGCGTCGCGCGCGGCTCGCCCCTCATCCGCTCCTTGGAGGTTAAAGGTCGGCCTTTTAAGTCCGGGCTGCTGCCCCCTTTTCCGGCTTCTCCGCCGCCGCCGCCGCCGACGAAAAGCAGGCGGACGGACCAAAAGGGAGCCCGTTTGAAAATGGCGCGCGGAGGACGGGCGACTTCCTCTTCGGGTCGCCCCAGCAACCAAAGCGGAGCGCAAGCGTCGGAAAGCAACGGACGAGGGGCGGGGGAGGGTTCTCGCGTCCGCGCACAGCGGCCCCTGCTGGAGCGTGGTGGGAACGGGGGAGTTGAAGTCCACAAGTCTTCAAGGGGCCAAGGTTGGAGACCCCCCTGATTCCAGGTCATGGTTGTCCCAAAGGGGCTTTTTTCATGAGGCACCTGGACTTTCTTTTTTTTTTCTTTTTCTTTTGAAGAAGCTGCTTCAGCTCTGACAGGATGGTGGAGAATGAAAGTCAGAGCTGAAGAAGCTTCTTGGATGAGAAGCAAAATGCCTTCAAAGAAAAAAACAGAAAATCCAGGTACCTATTGAATTAACTAACTAAATAACTTAATTAACTAAATAACTCAATTGAATTCTACTGTGTAACGCATTATTAATGCAACATCAGGGGTTTTTAATTCAATGTATAGAATGTGAAGGATGGGTGTTTGTGTTTTATTTTCATAGTCATAATGCACACAGAAGATGGTATTTAATTTCGTTGGACGAGGTGCGATGATAATGACAATGACTTTCAAGAAGAGATTGGACCGCCATTTGTCAGAAATGGTGTCGGGTCTCCTACTTGGGTGGGGGGGGGGGTTGGACTAGATGACCTAGAAGGTCCCTTCCATCTCTGATTATCTGTTATAAAGTAAACTAAACTAAACCTCATGAAATAAGCACCTTTGGGAAAACCATGACCTGGATGACTTGGAATCTCCATGGACACTTAGCTATGCACTTTGGGATGAATAGCCTTCGAATGGTGCAGGAGTAACAAGCGCTGAAGAAGCTTCTTGGATGAGAAGAGAAACATCTTCAGAGAAAAAGCAGGCAGTCCAGTTGCCTTGTGAAAAATGCCCCTTTTCTGTTGGGAGGAAAACGAGACTTTTGGTCTTCAATTCCATTGGACTGAAGGCACAACTGGATTTTTTTTTTAAAAAAAACCATGCTTTATTTGAAGCTTTTGAGTCTCTTGCCTAGGAAATGTTATTTGCAGCCAGATATAAATCTACGTATCCAAGGGTAGAGGATGCATTCATTCCATTAACTTTTCTAACTGCTTCACTGTCTCCTGTTAAATTTGACGCAGCTTTTAAAGGGAAGCTGAATATGAGGTGTGGATTTTACCACCAAAGATGTGAAAAGGACTTTGTTTTTGTTAGCCATTTCTCTTCATGCAATCTTCATGTAATCACCAAGACTTCTCATTACCTTTGAAAACATTAAAGCATGCAGTGCTGGTCTGTGGAGGAAGACCGTTATCTCTGACCAGTATCACTCAAGTTTGTTTATGTCTTGTTCATTCAGGGCCCTCCTGGTTTTCACTTCCCCGTTCTGTGCTCCTATGCTGAAAAGGGCTGAGTCTGTGACCTTCAGCAATTCATGGGAAAGCCAAGAGTTTTGCCCAGAATCTGCCTCCACTGCAACCGCGTTGGAACCACCAGATAGCTGGACTCAGCTGATTTGGGAAGCAGCTCATTGCGTGGGGATGTGTTGTTCTGGAGAGGATACAGGACTGGTGATACTGGTCAGAGACAACGGTCTTCCTCCAAAGACCAGCACTGCATGCCTTAATGTTTTCAAAGGTAATGAGTGGTCAAGTCATTAGATGATCAGATGAAGAGAAATGGCTAACCAAAAACAACCAAACCTTGGCCATCCTTTTCATTTTAATCAATGAGATGGACTTTGGACAATCACTTCTGAGCTCAGGGAAGGAGAACCTCCATGGTAACACTGAAGCCTCCTATCTTTCACAGTCCAAGGATCGGAGGGCATACATGTTTTCCGTTTCAGAGTTGATTTGAGATGAAAAGGGGCACGAGGCCATCCCATTTCCTAAGCAAAAGTGAGAAAGTCACTTTAGCCTTCAGCTTTGTATCCAGATCCACAGCGTGGACTGAGACGATGAGCAAGCTTGGAACATGCTTTGGCCTGAAATCTCGGCTTCAGTACATGTCATAATAGAAAACATAGTTCCCCAGATCCCCAAGAGCACCTAAAATCAAAATTATTTTGTAAATCTTGACTGAGGAGCAGGTAGTTTTTGTACAATTGATCCCAGCTTAACCTGCCTTCGTAACCTTTTAGATACAGGTAGAAATTGGAGGGTATCTTCTTGGCAACATGGTTGTGATGGGCAGTCTCTAGATTCCCATTTAATCAATCTTCTCTTCTTGCAATAGAACAGACCCAATTGTGATTATTTCTAATTTCCTAAAAATGCTTCAAGCCAGGGTATCTAGGCAGAATCCAGAGGAGGAGCTATCTGGAATTTATTTGATTCAGACTCTCTCCTCTAATGAGCTGTTGAAAATCGGGATCATTATTGCCTGAGGCTGGTGCTCTCTAACCTCGTTTTAAAAAATATGTAAAGCATCTTAGACAAATGTGGCACTTTAAAGTTTGGCAAGTGCCAGGATTCTGGATAGTTAGATATCAATGAATTTCCTGATGGGTCCTCAGGATCTTCCCCAATCATGTAAGAAGTTGTCTTGTTAAGCTGACTGACACGCTATCGTTTCTTTTGATTTCCCACGCTGAACTATCAACGAAACCAATGAAATTTGTCAAGATTCTCCTTTGATTACCAATATTGGATTGCACCTATTCAAAATAAATATGAGAGTCCCCCATCATTCTACATCAGTTTAGTGCAAACTGGAGGGTTGCTGTTGGGTTTTTTTTGCAAATGCATTTGCTTTTTTTAAATGACCCTTTAGAACAGGGGTGTCAAACTCAAGGCCTGTGGGCCGGATCCAGCCCGCAGGGCGTGTTTTAATCTGGCCTGCAGGACCAGCCTGGAAATATCAAAGGACTGGCCCACAGTGCCTCTGGTGGCTAAAACAGGCCACGTGCAGCTCCCTGCATCTTGTTTTCACCCTCATGGCCTCTTGCAGCACTCTGCTCACCGAAAACAGGCCGAAAAATGGGTCAGACACAGGCCGTGCAGCCTGTTTTCAGCCAGAATGCTGCAGGAGGCATCCATCCAGAAGGGGTATTCAGCAGGTTCTGACCAGTTCTGGAGAACCGGTAGCAGAAATTTGGAGTAGTTCGGAGAACCGGCAAATACCGCCTCAGACCGGAGATTTTACAGTATCCTTCCCCTGCCACACCCACCAAGTCACGCCCACAGAACTGGTAGTAAAAAAAACTTGAATCCCACCACTGCATCCATCCCCCTCTCCTCCGGCACGCGGAGAAGTGCAATGCTGATCGAGCACTCGAAGAAATCCAGTTTGACACCGCTGCTTTAGAATTTTAAATATATCAACCATTTTGTAAATGCAGGACCAATAGATACAGCGTGATCGGCATGGTAACATTTATTCACGTTTCATTCTCCAACGCACTTTCTCCTTTTCACTTGAATCAGGAAAGGCTGTACAAGTATTTAACATTTGCCTGGATACAGGATGGTCTGAGGGCCAACAAACTGAAGCTACACAACTAAAATAGAATATAAACAAATGGTTCTTAGGCCTAAGAATTAGAAAGGTACATGTTGAGTTCCTCGGGGAGGGTGACATGGCATATTGACTCTTTGAAAGCAAGGTACACATTATCATTTGTGTTTGTAGTGTGGTCAAATAGCATGACAACTGTTACCATCACATGCTAGTTCAGGTTGCTTTCTTCATATGCTCATTGTATAGTACATGGTGAAAAAACAGCTTTGTGGGAAGGAACAAGCCAAACATTTCTACAAATTCCTTTCTTGCTACTACTAAATAGAAAGAAGTTCTGCAAAGAGGTAGTCCAGTTTCCACACCATTTCCACCAGTAATAAAACCAGTAGGTGAGAAAACCTAATTTCCACAGCACCTGAAATCCTTATCGACTCAAGATATCCAAAATAGCTTGAGCAAAAACAGTGAGGAAGAAACTGAGATAGATAAATACATTGGCAAGTGAATTCTGTGTCATGTGAGTTAAAAGGTTAAATATTAGGACATAACCTAGAAAAGATAAGTTGAGTTTCAACAGTTCTTTTACAGAAGAGTAGTATCTTGCGTTTTTGTTTCTAACCCTAACCCATTCAAACAGATTTAGTTATGATGGCCTAAATCTAAAAATTTCAGAGTTGCCAAGGAAGCCTCAATCAATGCACTGAACATTCACTTCAATCACTGGGTGTTTCTGGAGAAATAAAGCATTTTTTCCTTTGTGCCACGCTGAGGCACCGCTAATAATCTCCCCCAGGAAATAAGTACTTTTTTTGTAAAGAGCTTTTTTATATACTTCAAAAGAGCTGCAATTACATAATCTTGTAAATTAATTCTCAGAAACTCAGCCATCTTATTAATCTATATATTAACATGCACTTTCAAGGGGGGGAAAACACCAGATGTTGATACAATATCTATACTTACTGATTTCTAAAAGTAAAGGATTAGGAAAGCAGATGAAGTTAGTATAATAAATATACATTTGACATGCCGCTTACATGTGAAAATGTACAGTTCAACACTCTTTATCCAACAATTAGGCAGTATTTTTACCTAGGCCAACTTTCCAACTGAATGGACTGGATCATAATTCTTAGCCAGTAGGCCCAAGGACAATCCTGCTGTGATTTCTCAGAACTGTAATCCAATTTTATATACTACAGCAGTTACATTGAGGAAAGCTGGCCTAAGCCAGCTGCTGATATGTATGAAGATAATTAAGAACACCCTGCCATTCCTCAAAATGACAACTTCCAGTGTCAGTGATGCTTTCCAGCAACTTTGTGAGCTTGTTTTGCGCCGGGTAAATTTCAGTGTGACTGTGCAATGCTGGAGAAGTAATCTAAAATATCCTGAATAGTAAATTCCATAGTAATTCCAGAACCAGGATAGCAACGTGCTATTAAGCCTTCGAAATGCTTGTATTGCCTTATGAATTCATCTTGCATGGAATGCCATACCACCTACCAAAAGGAGAGAAAAAAGAAGGAAGCTTTAATTAAAAATGAAGCTTTAATAAATAAATGAAAAGCTCCAGTCCGGAATTCCACAGGTAAAGTCACAATTCAATGCTTTCAGTGTTAAATTCCAGAAGTACCAAGAGAATGTGAATTTAATTTCAGGCACTAATGCCTGAGGCATCAATGAGTTTCCACTCAGATGCTAACCTACGTCTGCTTGACTTAAATGATAACAGGGGCTTACATGACCTCATAGTCCTTCCTACAAACATTTACCTCAGCATAAACTATTCATGTAAGAAAGAACAGTTTTTCTCCTCAGCATGCTAGAAAGGATGTGCTGTACTACTATTCATTCAAGTCCTATCACTAATACTACATACTGATCCAAACTAGTATAATTCAAATTTCATCCTTGCAATATGTCATTCAGATTAAAAGACAAATTATGGAAACCATCATAGATTTCCTTCTTTTGAGCCTGCCTTCTTACATTACCTGCAGTAGGTTTTCTTCTTCACACAGATGTTTGTCCACCTTTCTATAAAGGTTGTCCAATCCCTTTTTGACTTCTTTGCCAGGATACTCTTTAATAACCTTTCTTAGCTCTTGTTTACTGAAGGCCAGCTGGTAGCTCACTTCCTCTTCTCGCACTCCTTGAGCCACACGGGCTTCCACACCCTCAAAGAAGTGCTGCAATGAAAGAGGACTCAGATCACTTCCACGCTGGCCCCGCTTCCATGCCCAGAGGTGGCTTTCAGCAGGTTCTGACTAATTCTGGAGAACCGGTAGCGGAAATTTGGAGTAGTTCGGAGAACCGGCAAATACCGCCTCTGACTGGAGATTTTACAGTATCCTTCCCCTGCCACACCCACCAAGCCACGCCCACAGAACCTGTAGTTAAAAAAATTTTGAATCCCACCACTGTCCATGCCCCAACACTTCCAAAACTGTTGCAAGACAATTCACCTGCATCTTCCAACCTTCTACAGGTACAGGTGCTCACATTGCAGCCCTGGTCAAAAGAGCCCAGCAGAGATGATACTACCTAAGACTTCTCAGAAAGCAACAACTGAATGAAAAACTGCTGGTGACCTTCTACCGCTGCACCATAGAGAGTATCTCAACTTACTGCACCTCTGCATGGTTTGCCAATTGCACAGGGGCAGATTGGAAAGCACTCCAGAGGGTTAACGTCATTGCCCAAAAGATCATGGGTTGCCCTCTCCTCTCTTTGGAAGAGCTTTATGGCTCCCGCTGCCTTAAGAAAGTTCAAAACATTCTCAAAGATCCATCTCATCCTGGGCACCCTTTTTTTTTTGAACTATTACCATCTGGCAGACAGATAATAAAAACAAGGACAAAGAGGCTGAAAAACCGCTTCTACCCCAGTAGCTCTTTTGAATTCTACTGTATAGTGCAATATTAATGCAATATCAGGGGTTTTTCAATTCAACGCATAGAATGTGAGGGATGTGTGTTGTCTTTTATTTTCATGGTCATAAATTGTACACTGAAGATGGTATTTAATTTCGTTGTATGAGGTGCTATGACAATAAAGTCAAGTCCTCAACTCAGAAGAGTTTGCTGACTGACTGTTTGAACTTACAGTGGCGCTGAAAAAAAGGTGACTTATCCACCCTTTATCACACTTATGACCGCTGCAGCATCCCTGGGATCACGTCATTTTTCACTGGGCTGCTTGAGAGCCGACTCACATTTATGACGGTGGCAGTGTCCCGGGCCCATGGGATCGCCTTTTGCGACCTTCTGCCAACTTAACAACAGTGTTACTAATTTAACAATTATTTGAAGGATTTGGAAGAATGGAGGATTTAATGAAGGAGAGAAAACGTTTATGCGCGTTCTATAAAAATACGTATTTCTGGTTTTAATCTAGAATTAAAGAAAAAAAATCTAAAAAAAATCTTACATTTAATTTCTCAAGCGGCTGTCCCAAAGAGTAGATCACATATAACTGTAAGTAATCTGTGTATTGCTGCTTAGCTTCCTTTTTCTCGGCCTCTAGACAGGAGATCTTCAAACGAGAGAGCGTTGCAAAGATATGGTGAAAGTTCTCCATCATAACCACATCCCGAGGAGTCTTTTGGCTTTCATTTGCTACTTTCTCAACTGCAAAAATAAAAGGAAAACACCCCGCGGAGACGTAAACCACCGTGAAATATCAAAGAGCAATGGTAACCTAGGCTTATTTTCCAAGTCAGAAGATTATTGTGATAAATTTGGAAAAACAAGCAAAGAGTTAACTGTAAACGATAGCGAACAACAAATAAAAAGGTCTTAACTAGTAGTTATAAAACAGAAAAAAGATGACAGTGAAAGAAAACTAATAAGAGAGAAAGTACCACTATAAAAGATAATAAGATGGGTGGTTCCTAAATGTAACAAATAAATAAAAAAAACTTTAGTATCATTTCTAATAGCAGAATAGAGATTTTAATGTACTACAGTTACTTAAAACCACTTTTCTCTCATTGTTATCATCATTACAATATTTGAATCAGAAGAGATTGTTCTGTTGTTGTTTTTTTTCACACTAGCCCATGCTTTGTTTAACTATAACTAGTGAGAATTAACTACTAAGCAATAGATAAGGATTTGGCTTGAAGAGCAGGCAAAGTCAAAATCAAGCAAACCACATTTATAACTTAAAGAGTTCTACACAACCATACAATTCAGTGAGATGCTCAAATCATAATTCCTTGAAATGCCCCAGATTCAGCTATGTCTTAGGTTTGCTTGTTGACTGTCCCTATAAGATAAGTACCTCTAAATTGGAATCTGGGAATTGGCAACAGAGTTGTAAAGAAATGGGAAGAAATATTGAAACGCCTCATACATGATTGATAGGTACCAACCCTCACGTGACAAAAAATGATTTGGAAGTGACATGTAGTACAATAACGCATAACAAGATTCAGCAGTGTAAGACTTTAGCCTGATTCTTCAACAAAATGAGATATTATTTATGACACAGCAGATCAGAAAAGAGATTTTACCATTAGCAAAAACTGCGCGAATAAGTTTCAGGTAAGCTTTATCCAGATCTCCTCTGCGTTCAGCATTTCTGAATATAGATTCAGCCAAAGCTGCGAACTCTTCAAATTCAGCAACGAAAGGAAGGATTCCAACTTTGCTCTTCTTGGATATCTTTACATCTTCCATCTGCTTTATCTGATTACTCTAAAATGATTTTTTTTTTTAAAAAAAAAAGATTAGCCATGTTTTTAATCTTAAACTCTTTATATCCATGCAGGTAACTGATCTCTGATGAAAAAGGGAATCTCTGATTTGATGATAAAAACAAAGGCAATCTAGTTACATTTGGAAAAGAAGATTCTCAAGGTATATTAGCATCCCTCTGCATTTGCTACACGAAAAATATGGGTGCACGAGATCAGCGTGTGTTCGTTTCATCTTGCTTTGTCTTCTCACCCACATTAAATGGAGGGCAAGGGCGCCATTTAAGGGGCTAAATGTTTAGAATAGAATAGAATAGAATAGAATAGAATAGAATAGAATAGAATAGAATGGAATGGAATGGAATGGAATGGAATGGAATGGAATGGAATGGA